ATGTATGCAGCCCAGTGCTGGTGCCGAGCATATACAAACAGGGTCCTCTTTGCAGGTTGGGTGTGAAAACATCCAAAATAAAATCAATAAGGACAAAAACATAATTGAGTGAGAGAAGGAAATGGGCCAGCAAATGTGATTTGTAAAGAAAGGTATGAGTCAAGGAGCAAGAAGATAGAGGGCCTGATTTCTATCGATCCTGGATTACCACAGTGACAGTGCAAAGGAGCCTCCCCAGCCACCATGGCTTACGAAGGCCGTCACCTACTCCTCTCCCATGCACTGATGGATGGGTCACTGAGCTTTTGCCAGGGACTTCAAGGTGTGGCAACAGGCTGCAGGCTGCCTTGTGCTGCCTCCTCACATTCCTCCTAGGTCTCGGGATGGGGCCTAGAGAGTATGTTCTCCACGGAGAGCACCAGGAGGCAGGAGGGTGCACCTCACCACACAAGCCACTAGAGTTGTCCCCATGAGCAACATCTCCTTGGGCAAACCAAGTGTCAGATGAGCATTTTGCCTGCCGCAGATACCACAGAAAGAGCCTAATTAGAAATATAATTTTATGATAGGGGAGTGAAGGATTGACAGCCAGGTTTCAGTTCATGTGAGAACTAAGCGTGACACAATGACAATGCATCCAGGAAAGGAAGGAACTTTCAATTTGCAAAATTGTTTCTCAAAGAAAACACCAAGTGATCCTTTCAATGCATAGTTAATGAGTATTATAATAAATTCAACACAGGCTTGGTGGTTAAGTACACCAGTCAATTGATAAGGCTTAGCTGTTCTTCCTGTTGACAGAGTCCTGTGTTTTAAATTTTGTTAGTGGATTCTTGCTTCATAATGACGTTTGTTTGTTTGGGGAACTGGATGCACAGAGCATATCTTAATAATTTTCAGTCCCTTTTCCTCCCCTTTGCTTCCCCCCTCCCCTTGTGCCTTCTTGTTTCTTCTCTGTCAGAGTCCCATTAACAATTAAAATGTGAAATGCAAAAAACAGACTCAAAAGTATTCCAAATGCCGAATAACTTCAGTTTTGTAAATTCAGAAAAGTGGTGTAAGAAATTTTTACATTACGTCTTTTGCCTTTTATCTCCCACCAAAATGTTCTATGATGACATGTATCTTTATTCATATCCACACACATACCATACACATCATCATCATCATCATCAATAAGAATATAGGAGAGGGCCAGGGATTTAGCTCAGTGGTATCATGCCTGCCTTGTAAGTGCAAGGTCCTAAATTCAGTCCCCGGTACTGGGGAAAAAATTTTTTTTAATAATAATAATAATAAAGGAAACATTTTAATGCTATAAGTAAAATCTTCATAATAAATGTTAATCCAAACATAAGTAAAGTTAAAATATTTATGCAAAGGAAGAAAACTAGAAAGAAATAAACACAAAATTATTCCTAGAGTTTTCACTGAGACATGAGGCGGTTTTTTTGTTGTGGTGGTTGTTTTTTGGTACCGGGGATTGAACTCGGGACCTTGCACTTGTGAAGCAGGAGACATGAGTTTTTAAATATCCTTTTCTTTCTTGTTTGTAATGTTCCTCATTTTCCAAAATGTTTCTTCCGCTATCATTGTGAAAAAATATGAAAAGTCTGAATTAATTTTATTTTATTTTTGGTTATACTGGGAGATGAAACCAAAGCCTTTGTGTTGAGCTACATCTCCAGCCCTTCTTTTATTTTTACTTTGAGACAGTGTCTCACTAAATTGCCCAGGCTGGGCTTGAACTTGCAGTCTTCCTGCCTCAACCTCCCAGAGTGCTGGGATTACAGGTGAGCACCACTGCACCAAGGTAGAGTCTCAGATTTTACTCTACTTACAAGTGAACAAGTTAGCTTGCCAGCTTCCTGGTGGCAGGAAACTACAAGTCTCTTGGGCTAGAAACAGGACATTTATTATTATAGCACAAGCAGTACTCAAAACATCAGCTTTTTTGCCATTTCCTCGAATCCTAATTTTCATAAAACAACATGAAAGAGGCCAGGTAACCTTGGTACAGCCTATAATTCGTGTTACAGGGGAGGATTTTCAAGTTTAGGAGATTGACTCTTTTATAATCATAAATAAGATGGCCTGACATCCCTGTCAGAGGGAGACACTATCTTTATTACACTAGGTGTTAAAAAAATCCTATCCATTGCCACTGAAAAGCATACCATTTCAGCTGGGTGTGGTGGCACACGCCTGTAGTTCCAGCACTCAGGAAGCTGAAGCAGGAGGATCTCTGAGAGTTGAAAGCCAGACTGCACTAAATAGTGAGTTCAAAACCACCCTGGACTACATAGAGAGATTCTGTCTTAAAAAAAAGAAAGGGCATACAATTTCTATCTCCCAAGGCTGTTCACTATACAAACATCTTTGAAGAGACCTAGGAGAAAAGAAACCAGTTCCTCTTCTTACACCTTTTTTGTTTTTTTGTTTTTTGGTACTGGGTATCAAAGTTGGACCTTTGTGCTTGCAAGGCAGGTGGCAAAATCACTGAGCTAAATCCCCTGCCCACCTCTGCTTATATAACATTCAGAAAAGTATGACATCCTGAGGAATTGCCTCCCCACAAGCATTATTGATTTTATTTATTTAATTTTTAAAAGTTTTTTTATTTTTTTGGTAGTGAGGATTGAACTCGGGACCTTGTACATGTGAGGCAGGAAGTGGCACCACTGAACTAAATCCTCAGCCCTGATTTTATACTCACAAACTTTTGTTTGTTTGTTTCTAACAGTGTGCGGGAGACAGAAGTATTCATCATAGACTGCTCTTTCTAGTTGTAGGAGTGTATTCTAATGTTTTCTCATGTACTAAAAGCTTTTTTAAAATAACAAGAAACCTTCTCCAAGTAAACCCTTTCAGAAAGTCTGAAAGACTAGGCAAGCATAAGCCAAAGAAATGTAAAGCTAGTAATATTAATATTAACCAAAGAATGCTTTAAGAGGAAAAAATAAATTAAAGAGAACAAAAATCATTCTGATAATAGAAGGTAAAAATCCACAATGATTATATAACATTCATAACCATCTATGCTTTCCCTAATTTGAAAAAAAAGCAAAAAGTAAAAGCTATTCATATATAGAAAAAATAATTGAAATATTAGTTATTAGACTTTACAAATAAAATAAATCATTAAAAAAAAGAGTTTCTTTTTTTTGGGGGGGTACTGGGGATCGAACTCAGGTCCTTGCGCTTGCAAGGCAGCACCAGAACCACTGAGCTAAATCCCCAGCCCAAAAAGCAGTCTGAATGTTATAGTTGCCATATGTGCCTATTTGAATTCCACCTTACAGACAGCTGTATTATGGGGGAAAAACTGGATCAAAGTCTATTTCTCATAAAGAGACCCCAGTGACTCAGAGGGGATCTCAAAGGAAGAAAGGTGCAGAAAAGTGTTGGGGAATCTGGCTGGACTACGTGGGGCTGGAAGCTCTGGTGCATATATCCGCCCATGATGGCCCAGAGTCAGATTTAAACTGCAAAGAGAATTTGACAGCAGTTAGCTGTGACCTGACAGTGTGGGCTCTGATAGGGAGGTGGATCGTGGGCATGAATACTGTAGCAAACAGGCCACCAATAAGATCAAGGATTAGGAGGTGCACTGTGTGAGCAACTCACCCAGTCACGCCGGTGAGTGCATCTCTCACCCTCACCCTTACACCCCGCCGCCCCCGCATAAAGTAGGACTGGGTGACTCTGATGTGCTCTAACACCAACAAGGAAGTCCTGAATCCCCATAGTAATGGACAGGCAGAGAGAAGAAATAAAGGAAAGAATGTATGAATGTATTAAATAAAGCTGGAAAAATACATCATGAGGGCTACCTGTGTCTTTAGAGACACAAAGAAGAAGGGATACAAGGAAGTAAGTGGCAGTATCATTTCTATTACAGAAACACTTGAAATTGTTCAGAGTTGGGGAATAGATAAATTATATTGCATCTATATGATACAGTAGTATTTTTTCATTAAAACTAATTTTTCTAAGACCTTTACTGACAGAAGGGAATAGAAAATCAGAACACATGAAAAATCCTGTGGATAGATGGTAGCCAACTTTTGTAGAACTACATTTACAGTCCATACCTGCTGTTATCTTTGATTCATAGGGATACAGCTTATCTGAATTTTTGTTACCAGTTTTGTTCCTTTTAAGTTACCAGTTTCATTGTGTGAATTATTTTTCAATAGCAAAATCAATATTTATCAAGCAAAAACAAAGTTTAAACTGCTTCTAAAGTAAGAATGTCTAAATTAAAGGTTAAAGCAATATTCATTTATCCAATTTTTTTCTATTTTGCAGAAGTTAACTATCACCTTTGGTCTAGGAGCAAAGCCAGACACTTGGAAATACAAAATGAGTACCTTTATTTGAATCTGAGCTTGTCACGGTCTGTGGAAGGTCCTTGTAGAGGAGATAGAATAAATTAAAGAAAAATAGAGCTGTGAGCACAGAAGAGGCAGTCAGTCCAGAGGCTTCATGGAAAAAGAGGCTCTTGATTTGGCTCTTGAAGGCATGGGTGGGGGTGCTGGCCAGAGAAGAGTGACAGGACTGTTGGCCTGGGTAGAGGGAACAGCAAATGCTGATTCATTTCCTTGATATCAAAGGTGTGACCCTAAGGTCAAGGAGCCAGTGGGACGCTCCTGAGCGGCTCCCGTACATCTGTGTTAAACTTTACCTCTTGGTGCAGGGCCGTATGCCCAGCGGGCCTCTGAGTTGCCTGTAAGGTGCTATTACTTGCTTTAGTCCTCATAGTTCACTCTGCTGTCCTTTCTTCTGAGTCTCAAAATGAATTTTGTGTTGGGCACAGTGGCACATGCCTGTGATCCCAGATACTCAGGAGACTGAGATAAGAGGATCACAAATTCGAGGCCTACCTGGGAGATTAGCAAGACTCTTGTCTCGAAAAATTAGGGCTGGGGATTTAGCGCAGTGGCACTGTACCTGTCTCACAAGTGCAAAGTCCTGAGTTCACTCCCTGATAAAACATATTAGGGGGCTGTAGCCCAGTGGGTAGAGGGTGATCGCAAGAGAATCACCTGAGATACTTTTTAAACATCTCAGTGTTGAGATCCCGCCTGCAGGGAGTTTGACTTAGGAGGGTGATTGCCAAGAATGATGAGTGTGTGTGAAGCAAAGGGGAGTGTTCTGATTCCAGTCACGTTTGGATTTTCTGTGTCAGAGCCAGTATATTGTAAAAGCTTCATGAGTGAGTCTAGTATTCAAATACTGCGGGAATTCAAATACACATGTACTATCCATACAGACCATTTAAAAGGAACGACTTGACTCGGGTGGGAAATAACCCCAAATTCATTCCTTGAAAAGAAGTCTCAAGCTGAGCATGGTGGCTCACTCTTGTATTCCCAGAACTTAGAAGGCTAAGGCAGGAGGATCACTGTGATTTTTGAACCAGCCTGGGCTACACAGTGGGCTTCAAAGCCAGCCTAGGCTACATAGCAAGACCCTGTCTCAAAAGAAAAAAAAATCTCATTATGTGTTATATAAAAAGGGTACCAGGAGAGTCAGAGCCCATTGAGAAATTATTCACGATTACCCGACCCTGGCACCAATGTCCCTTGTTTGTTTCCACACTGTCATTGGTTAAATTACTGCTGCATCGTACTCAGTTGGTGAAAAGAAAATTTGCTTGGGAACAAGATTCAGTCATGATTCTCTCATCCTCTACAAAATATTCTCCTACCCACCACTTTTCTTAGAGCCCCTTTGAGGTCTCTGTTCCTCAGGCTGTAGATGAAAGGGTTTAGCATGGGGGTCACCACTGTGTACAGCACAGTCGCTATGGTGCTTCTCAGCT